TGAGTCAAAAACTCAAACACCGATTGAGCAACTGGTATGCAAAAAAGCTGTGCCACTCGTGCAATGACTCTTAAATCAAATCATTTAGACAAAGTTTGAATCAGACTGAAGTTTCAGAAAACTTCGTAAACTCATTACATTGAAAAGGTGATTTGGGTAAAATTTTTTAGTCCAAAAAAGGTAAATTTATTATTTTCTCCTCGAGGTTAACACTAGAACGACCGGATTTTCATGACCTAGAACGCCCAAAGCGGTCATTCTGACCGTTACTGTTTTTTTTAAAAATTTTATACTTAAAAATGGTTCTGAATTAAAAAATGAATTCAAAATTCTGCAAAAAGTAATTTTTGTGGGACAAATTAAAAGTTATGACATAATTTATTTTTAAATAAATTGTATGCAGTTTGTTTTATTAAGGATAAAAATCACAAAACGGTCAAAATGACATACGGGCGTTCTGGTGTTAAAGCCAAAATTTTTTACCACCAAATAGATAAATCAAAATTTATTTCTGAAGTTGTCTTCGATGAAAAAATAGTTTCAGAATACAAAAAAAATATAAAATGAATGGCAATGCGTACAAAAGATGCATTTTAACAGGAAAAGACAGCCCAAAGGTCAAACTTCCAACATTTTTTTGGTAATGAGATTTACAAAATGGATGGATACAAATTTTGGATTCATCACGTCTGGCTTATCCCTTCCTCTTTTCGATTTAACGTAATGAAAATGGAGCTTGTAGTAACAGAAATATGGAAAGACGTCTCTGACTCGAATGATTTATACATTCGAGTGAAAGCACTATTTTACATATTTCAACAATTGCCGTACATTTTTCACGTCTTTTTCAAATACAAATATACCATATATATCAGTAACTAGCCGAATCTGAGCAACGATATTTGAAATTAATTCTTAGGTAATATTTATGAATAGTTTGGAAAAAAAGTCAAACAAAATCTGTTTCAACTCTATACTATATTCACTTTCATTTTTTTTCCTAAATGTCCACACCAAAGCTCATTGTGCACCGGCCGGTGCTCTCAGGAAGTTAAAGATTAAGCATGGCATGTAAAAGCCTCAGCTGAAAAATTCAAATCGTGAATAATGCAGAGATGCTGCAAACAGAGAGAGCACGCGTATCCCGGATACGGTTCAAAAAAAGGTGAGGTAATATTTATAAAAGGAACATGTGGTAAATGATGATAATAACAATGACCTAACCTGTTTAAAAATTTGTTGCTACCTAGTCTAACAAAATGTCTTGATGAAAAAAACAAACGAAAAATAATGCATAAAGCCATTCATGCGTGTATCTTATGCGATATTTACCGCACAGTTACATTTCAGAAGCATTTGTGTAGTATATTGGTTTTAATGATGAATTCAGACGTCCAAGACAGGTACATGAACTTTGCATTGTTTCTCATCATGATCATACAGACTCTGGCTACTTATATGACAGAAATTCTACTTGAGCGATGAGTTATATCCCATACCGTCTCTCAGTCGTCTCGGCAGCTCGATAAAGATAAAAATTTTTGATGAAAGGACTCACTAGTCGCCCAAGAAAAAGGAGCAAGTCAAAAACAACATTAAAAAAATGAGTTGTTCAGTGTAAAAAAAAGTCCAATGGGATTTTTCTGTATGTCACATTCTTATCAAATTTCGACCACCTAATTGTCTTTTTCTTATGCTGTTTTTCAGTGATTATTTCGCAAGGAGAAAGATGATTGATGAAACTCATTCCGATGTTGAACCGGAAGTTGCGGCTTCTCAACGTCGAGCAATGCCATTTATGATTATTTCTGGTATTTTGACAGCCCTCGCTATTTATCTTGCACTTTACAACAAATTACCGTGGACCATTGGCGGACATTCCAGCCTTCTTAAACGTATTGTATTCGCATTACGATTGTCATTTGTTGAAATTTTATTCCTAATATTTATGATCTTAACTATTGCAAGAATACGATCATCAACATTTGCCATTGATCCAACGGATGCTCGAGGACAATCCATTGTTGAACAACCTCAACGTATACTCCAAAATACTCTTGAACAATTCTTGGTCAAATTTATTCTTTCAATCGTTCTTGCGACACTTTTACATTCACGAGAATTAATTTTATTGCCAGTACTTACCATATTATTTTTGATTGGTCGTATCACATTTGTCATTGGTTATCCTCGAAACCGAGCGTTTGGAATGGTCATGAATTTGGTTAGTTCTGTAATTATAGGTTTAATCATCGTCTATCGACTATATTATACTGGAATTATGTCTGGTTTAAGTATGAAGTGGAAAAGAAATAATTCAGTATTTTGAATAAACTATGACATAAAAATGTAAAAATAATTTTGTATATCAAATTGTTTCTGAATTTTTTAAATATTTAGATAATCATGTCTATTTGAGCAAGCGAACAAAATAATAAAATGGATGTGGTACAAGAAAGCTATCGTTTATATAGAAATACCGTCCTAATAATGAATAAAGATACTGGTTTTTATCCGTTTTTGAAACACTGTCTTGCTATCTCATGTTTAGTGTCCTACATCGAGTTTTTTTCGGATTTTTTTAACCCGACCCGAAAAATCGGGTTTTTCGCAGTTCTGCGAGAAAGGTTTCACTGACGTGCTGCTAGCAATTCAGAACTGCGAAAAACCCGATTTTTCGGGTCGGGTTTTTCACGGGTTTGGATTGCTAGCAGCACATCAGTGGAACCTTTTTTCACGTAAAATACACCCTCCCACTTTTTTTTGCGAAAATATGGAAAATAGAACAACTATTCGATAATATTATAACATTATAAACTAAAATACGAATAAATGATCTTTCTGTAGATTGATGCATTAGATTATGTTGAGAAGATTATATGCATAGGTTTAGAACAAAAACTATCAAAAATTGT